TACTTTGACTGTCAATTCTAAACTTCCTCCACAACTGCCGCCATTGCCAACGGTTCTAGTGCTCGAAACACTGTCTCAGGTGTACTGAAACCTCGCTCCGAACTACACATTGGAGCCTTCAACATACGCACCCTATGTCGAATCAGTCAGCAGGCCTCCTTAGCTAAAACCCCAGGATCTCGTCCCATTGATGTATAATGTGTCTCCAAAACACCCATACAGGATCCTAATGTATTCATTCACGTGACCTCACCTAACCAAAACGTAGGGCCGACGAGATTTACTCTCCGTGTATCTGGCTACCCGATGGCTAGTTCTCGCGTACTGGCAGGTGTAGGCATAGCACTAAATACGAGTTCAAAAAAAGCACTTTTAGACTGGATCCCTGTTAACAGTCACCTATGTGCTGTTCGGTTAAACGGCTCCTTAAGAACTTAGAAGGACATGGACACACGTCGTTGCTTTTTCGTCATCACTGCATACGCTCCCACTGACTGCAGCCTGGATGAAGTGAAAGATGAATTTGACAGAAATGTTTTGAACTTCCTCAAAAAGCTGAACGCTCAGACATAGTTTTCATAGCACGTGACTTTAATGCCCAGGTAAGTAGCTTAAACCAAACAGAAAGACATCTATGCGGGTAATTTAGTATTCCGGCTCATCGAACAGATAATGGTGATTGTCTGGTAAAACTGTGCTCAAACAATCGTTTATTTTTAACAAGCACCAATTTTAGGCATAAGGAGAAACATCGTCTAACATAGTGACCCCCTTACCAAGTCAATGATAGGCCCAAATAGACTCATATTGCCATCAGTCATCGTTGGAGAGGCTCGATGGGAGACTGTCGATCATGCTCTAATACGAGCAAGCATTTGCTTGCGCTTTGCTGAACTTTGAAAAACCACATTAAGACCCTTTAAAATGTAACTCAGTGACGAGAGAGCCAAACGTAGATTCCATGAACAACTGGGGTCACACTTATGTAGTTCTGAAAACGAGGCTGACCCAGATATCGCTTGGAAAGATATACGAACTAATTCTTTCTTCTTTTATACAATCCTTATATGCAATCTTTCTTTTATATATTATCATCATTGAATCAACTACTTCTATGAATCCGGTGTCTATCTTGTTGTGTTAATGAGGTGTTTCAACTTGAACCGATGCATATATGTGCCTGGTTCTACGTTGTAGCTGACTGACTATCAGTTTGTTCTATTTAAAAACTATTCTAATAGTTTATAACTGATGGTAATGTTCTGAATTACAAACGATCGATCCATTCTTTTAATATTAGACGGGATCTGCTCATATTAAATGACTTGAGGAGCCAGTATGCTTTTGCGACCCAACATTAATAATGTACCCGCGAATAGAGGGTAAAAGAAGATTAGCTTTTTAGGAAAGCGTTTATATTCCCAACTGAAGTCAAAATTTAAATAAAGTGGAACAAATATTTGCATACAACAACAAATATGACCTTTGAGACAAAATAGATTAGTAGGCGTAAAGCAAAAATAATCAATCAGCTAACAGTACAGTTTATTATGGAAATATGAATTAGAGAAAAGTTACCTTTGGCATTGTCGCACACTATAAGTGTCATTTATTAGTGATGTTTTTAATATCGAACACTACAAGGCCTATTTTAAGAAGTATGATTTTACTGAAATATGGAAAGTTGTGTCCCCTTTGATTTTCTGTTTGAACGGAATAATGAAACTAGGCCTTCAATTTTTGATGGCATTTAATTCACTATAATCTAACATAAAGGGATATATAGTATAAGTTCCTAGTGGGTGTTATCTTTAATAATCTGATACCACTACATAAAATAACTGGAGTGCTCGTTAGAATATTTTGTATAAAATCATCTTAGTAATCTCAATCATACGGTAAACAATCATTGACGCATTAGCTTGACTAACAGAGTTTATAACATGTCAATTTCGATTATCACTGATTGCTTGATGGAGCATATGAAAAACAACAAACCGGTATGATTACGGACATTGCTGTATTTTTTTAGCCTTTAGAACACTGACACCTGCATGAATGTTTCCCTTTCTATCTTCTCAAAGTTTTTATTTTTACGTGCTGAAATGTTGGGATTGTGAGATCAACTATGTAAGGGAAAGTAACATAATACTTCTAGTCAACGTAAATAATATAAAGTGTGCATTTAATCAAGTAATAAATAGAAGTGAATTTGCATGTATTATATTATATTATCAAATTTGTTGTGTTAGGTGTTCGTTTACACTGTCGAAATTCTTAACAAAAAGATATATACATAGTCGTCACAAGAAAAAGTCAATAAACTCTACTTAAACAGATATGTTAAGAGTGTATGTCTGTACATAATTAAGTAAACGTAATTTTTCAAAAATAACGAAATGTGTAATTCTCCTTAAAATTTCACATTTACATACGAAATCCTTAAAACACTACGTATCATATGACGGTACTGTGGAATGTTATGACTGTATCCCAAATTGATTAGATTCAAGACTTGATCATTATAATTGCAACTAGTCATTAGATGTTATCATTCTAGCCATGAAATGTATAAATATCAATTGTTCTATGACGTCTTAGATGGTGGAATCCCCTAATTAAATACATAGGCTATGACTTGGACAGAGAAATGTTCATGTAACGGTTTGTTTTGGTTTTCTAAAGACCCTAAACTACTTCACAAATATCGATAATGGTCTTAACTGAGTCGATGTAGTTTTTCATGACAAATATATTGGTTTCAATGCTTAAAAGGGTTCCATTTTGTGTAACTCAATAGTCTGATTACAATATCCATCACAGTTCCCCATATGAATTTACTATCAGCATTTACAGCTCAACAATTTCTCATTTTTCAACTGTTATGTAGTTGATTTCATTCAGTTCATCATATAAATGATCAAACACTAATAGCTTCATAACAATCAATCGTCTCACTGATACTATGTTGCGAAACGTTCCCCGATTGTCCAACTTCGAAATATTACGGACACTTGAGCAACTCAACTACGTACCAATTCCCCCATACTCCGATAATGTCACTCATTTCTCAACTAATTAAAACCAGCTTTCTCCTTATACTTATGACTAATCATTTTCCTATTTTTTCGTCCCATTATAGTACCCTTTTTGTATTTTAATCCTTAGACATAATTTATGTATGTCTAGCCATTCATTATTTGTTAGTTCATCTAACAATCTTTAAATTCTACAATAAACAATGGTTTCTTATCGATCATCAAAATGATTATCCTAACTTATGACTACCGTACATTATTGTTTGCATGGGTGCTGGTAACTGATCTTTTTAGGTGTTCAAAAGCAACAAATCATCTATTATTTTCACTTGGTCTTTGTCTAGTTTTCTAGGTCTTGTTTAATTATATATATATATATATATATATATATATATATATATATATATATATATATATATATCATTTTCGACGATCTTGATTGACTTTCATTTATATGTCTGTATCCATTCTGTTAACTGCCTCACATACCATTTCCTTTCAAAACATCATTTTGGTCTTGGACATCATCCACATTGTTACATATTGCAAATGTTATGTTTGACTTGTTTTAGTTTTCCAACCATTGGTTATGGTAGTCGCATGAACCACGATCTGGGGTGTCTGTACTCACCTACATAACTCAGTACAACGATACATGACCTCACGGACTGATTCCACTTCTTGGTTTCCACTATCCTATCTTTCTACCATCTATCAATTTCTCACCAATACTGCTAAACATTTGTTTGATTTTGTTCCTAAGTTGTCTGATTTTGACAATCCTAAATTTTTAATAGACTAATTTGTATGTTCACCCAACCACAGTCTGCAATAATCAGTAATGCGGTGGTGGGACGTGTTGGTCTCTTTGATTGAGTGAGTAGCTGCCGACACAAGAGTGACCAGATGTATGAATATACGTGAATGTGTCGAGATTTGATTTATATGCTTAAATTAACCATAGAATTAGAAATTCAGTTGAAATATCAACTTCCAATTTATTTTCTTGGAACTCTAGTTTGTAGATTGATAATCGTTCTGAATATATCAAAAACGTTTATGCTCTCTGACCCATTAGTAGAATGCTATTCATATAGAATATATCAGGAATCTTGTTGTTCGGGTTTTCTCTCTCTTCTTATTCGACTGTGATGAATTTTCCATCAATCGACATCTGCTTGTTTAGTAAAACTGAACACGAAAATGCTTTGAACGACTGCTTTTTGAGTAAAAAACTTTCCATCGGTACCCATTCACTTTACTGCATACCTACTCATCCCATTGTAAACCTGGCTATCGATAGTTTAAACCCTACTAAAGTTATCGGTTCCCTCAAGATTCTCAGTCGGTCAGCTACATCGTAGAACCAGGCACATATATGATCAGCCCAAGTTGATATACCTCATTAGTACAACAAGATGAACACCAAATTCATAGAAGTAGCTGATTCAATGGTGGTAATGTATAAAAGAAAGATACAAAGCAGTTTCAATCTCCCCGTTTATGGAAAGAGATAGAGTGTATACACTCACACCATTGTGTTTGATTCTGAACCGTGACCCAGAGTCTGCAACCATTGCGCGTCATGTTAATCGGTGTTCAGGCATACATAATACATGGCTCAATCATCTATTTCCATGAGGATTTACAACCTCATCAAATGATTTACCATCATTCCCTAAAACCTTGCGTCCAACCTCACTATTACATAACCGATGATCCCAGCGGATGCGAGCAGTATTCCTAAGACATATTTGTCAGATACTAGTAGCTTCTCAAGATTCTAGATTTCCTACAGTGATTGCCACACAACCTCCTAGGTCTAATGTTACCCGCTGACTACTAACAACCGTGCAACACACAGAATATGATCTAACGTCGTTTTACGTACCTATACAAAATAATCATTTTAAGAAACACTAGATAAAAATCCATAAATTAATACTCTTTCTATAATTGTAGGCAGAAAAATTGATGGATTTTATTGATATAAAGAGTAGCAATAAACTGAAAAGTGCATCAAATACGGCTAATCTAAAAGATGACAGAAATAATTCACAGTCTATCGAAAATGATAAAAACACTTCACAACAATATATTCTTAAATTTCGATTATCTGATGCCAAAATCGCTCAACGATTAGCTTTACAATTATACACAATATGCAATAGAGTGATAAAAGAGTCAAATAATAATAGTAATACAAGGATACAATACAATGATGTCGAGAAAGAGGAAGAAGAAGATGAAAGCACTTCTTCCGATATGCTGACACGATTTAATCGACAATTTCGTGATACGTAAGTAAATTATTGTTTCTTCAAACTATTCTATTCTAATGTGTATATATTATTTTCACATTAAAATCATGAGCACTGGACGGCCATTTCGTCCTAGTATGGGACTCCTCGGCAGTGCGTTAACATCATTGGATGCCGGCTCAGTGATCTAGTTGGTTAAGCGCCTGGCGCGAAACTGATAGATCGTGGTTTCGAATCTCGCGGGGTGCGGGATCGTGGATGCGCACTTCTGAGGAGTCCCATACCGGGACGAAACGGCCGTCTAGTGCTTACAGGTTTTCCTTGGTGGTCTAGCTTCAATTGACTCATGTTTCCAATCTGTGAAATTTTGTAGAATCTCCACAAACCCCTTCTGGTATATATAATATTAGTTAGAATTTCAATTATAATCCTAAGCTTATCAAAATGATTAGCCTGATGCGATGGATTTAACTGTAATTCATTAATATAAAAAGGCATAAAAATTTGTTGTGTAAAATTTATTGTAAAAAACTAATGTCTGATCTTAGTATTAATTGATTGACAATATCAAACAATGGCTTACTTAACTAATGTTTTTTTAACTGCTTACTTGTAATTTTTCATATCACGTTAACTTGTCCTAAACTATCAATCTTTTTTTCATCCGTATGATTTTTAGTTTTGCTTAAAGAAAGATGAACCAAATGTCTGAAATGTTAATTTTGCATTTTAAAAATGATTGAAATCATAAATAAACCTGCGTGTTACGTAACTATTAAAAGTTAAGTAACCCTAAACAATCTTTTCATTATGAATTATAGTACTTCATATCAACAGTCGGAAAATATAAACCCTTACAAATTATTTGGTAACTATTCAACATGTTATTAGCTATCTGGACTCAGTAGTTTGATAGATAACATTGTATTTGTAGCAAGGAAGACTAGGTTCGAGTTTCAGTTTTAAAATCATCCACCTGACGAGCCCTGCACTGGAGAAAACACCCATCTTGGATTCCATTCCTAGCGATAATTGACTAAATTTATTATTATAAATTATTATACTTCTCACCTCTTTACATAAGATCAAACTACTGAGGAGTCTCAAACTAGTACTGAACAACTATTACCTGATCCGTGTGGTCCATTATATATATATATATATATATATATATATATATATATATATATATATATATATATATATATATAATTGCTAATGATTACTAGTATTTGTTGACTATAAGTGAACGAAAAATATCACCAACATGTGTGTTCTTATTTGTTAGTCAAACAGTTGACTCCAGTTTCTATGCTACCTGTATGTCAATGTGTAGTTGATTTGTTTTCCTTTCAGTGTTATAAGTATTCAAAGTTTATCAATAAATTATATTTATTACAGTTTAGATTTTAATGTGCTTATGACATTTTATGATAATACAGTTGACTCATCCATGTCATCCTTTTGTTTATAGTAGTTATGTTCTGATAAGATGAATTAGAAGTTATCTTTCTGTTTTATGGTTAAGATTACTTGCTGATAATTCGATTCATCTTTTAGTATGTATATTTTGGTGACGAAAAATATTTCACTGGATTTCGTTTCTTATATATATTTAGAGATATCTTGTCCCGATGCACGTTTGTTTCTAGTTTTACATTATTTACGATTGACAGATTGATTGACTGATTGTGGTAATCAGAGATAATCTGTTATTCACATTTCTTTCGTGATTGTATTTGATACTATACAATAAACAGAACTACAGTCAAATAAAAATCTGTACCACTGAACTTACGACTGATGCTACGAAGCTTTTAACTAAACATCACTGAAACATTTTCGTTTGGTATTTCATTTAACCAACGATCGCCTCGTAGTCCTACGTAACATAAAGCGACTGTTTTTGTTGTTTGTTTTTTTTGAAACTTTTAACGAAATATTGCATCCAGATTTCACAGACACTGTAAAACTAATTGCCGAATGAACCTGAAATTAGGACGTTGGGTTTCAGACCCACTGAATCTCCTACGCGAGTTTTTTTTGTGAACCAGATGGAAGGACCGACCATGTACACAATGATACTCTCAGATCGTTACCGATTTCAGATGGGTATATGCACAGGCTAACCTGCATCCATGTATTTACTAAATGTACAGTGGTAATCCAAGCCAAATTTACCGTAGTGACAATATTCGCGAGAAAATTTATAAATAATTAATATTTAACTTGAGAGAATTACCAAGAAAAAAATACGACCAGTTGCTGTGCACAATTTGCAAACAGGTTATTGCAGAAACTTATAGATACTTCCTGTATTGAAATGAATGAGAAATTACCATTGACTTAAAGCTGCTCTGACAGCTGTCGGTAGCGATTATAATTGAAATGAAAAGCTACCTTTAGTACGTCTACGTGAATACACAACATTCAAACATGTCATGTATTGATGGGAATGATTAATGCACACCTAATGATGACATGGCTCAAAATCGTTTGCAATGGCGCAGGTGCATCCACTCTTTGTGTTCTCCCAAATTCTAATCTTCTGAATTCTTCATGTCCCTTTTTTCCTCTTTCCAAATTTATTTCACTGAATTATACTCTTTAAATAACATCTCCAAACCCTAATCTTCCCGATCACTGCTTACACTCTTGCTACCTCTACCACTACGGGATTTGAATCGACAACTGCATCTCTGTGTTAAGGTGGTGCGGCAACTCGAACTGATGTACGTACGTACGAAGTTCTACGTTGTTACTGACTGACTGACTGAAAGATTAATTACTTACGTCTGTCACGCCCGATGGAACATAGGCCGCCGACTAACACTCTCCAACCCGATCTGTCCTGGATACACTTAAAGATTGTTCAATATTAAAATGTAAGTTTTAAGAAAATTGTTTCTAAGATCTCTGGAACCGGAGAAAATTAGAAAACCAATGTCTGTACAGCGTTTTGAAATTAATTTAGATACATACAAGATCTAACAACAAATAGTTTATTATCTTTAACTCAATGCTATGGAGTGTATATGAATATATCAATTGGAATGCGAAATTGAATCAGTACTGCTGTACTTTTACTGGGACCTTTCTTGTTGCAATCTGTTTGCTTTGCTTTCGTGCTGTTACTAGTGTCGGAAGCTTTGTCGCTAGTGTTTGTTCATGACTTTCTAAAAATGTTAGTTTTAATCGACCTATGGTCATGGTCTCGTGTTTCACCTCTATCTATAAAGTGACTATTTGCCCATCCATTCTCAAAACATCAAAAGGGATTTTCAACTTACACGTTGAATCCACTTTACGATGACTCCTTACGAGATATAATAAAATGTTGCTCTTTCTCCCTAACTGTTTCATTGTTTATTAGTTTAATAAATTCCTTGTAAACTCTTTCCTTATATGACTAAACTATATCCCATACATTTACACACAAATTCCTAAAATCTTCATGTGTTCTATACTTCTTTTGATGTTGTTTTGTATCCCAGTATCTGACACCGTTTTAATCGTACGAAGATGTTATGTTCATAAACCTTCCACTCAACTCCGCATATTGCCTAGGCTAACCCCATTTGTTTGATGGTGGTTGTAAGTAGCCAAATACGGGTTGTGTTGGAGGAATTTTAAGCATTCGCTTATCCAGACGGACATTCAGAATAAGAAGCGGGAAAGCGAAGCGGAGCCAGGAATGTCATTGGAAAAGTCGAAGGCGGGTTACCGTCAGCAGGTCACAACAATGTTACTTGTGCAGAATCTCAGATTTTGTTATTTTATTACAACTATTGGGACGATCTCACCAGGATAAGGCGCTCGTCATAAAACCAAAATGAATGAATATACCTCAATGGCTTTTAGATTCACCTTGTTGAAAATTTGCATATTAAAACGAATTATTTTCCAAGTCATACTTGCAGTTTTCTATTGCACCTCAGCTGAAATCAATCCATGACGAATACCAATTACTACGAACAAATAATTGTTTATAGCTGTTTACTTGTTTTCTTTTTAATGTTTGTTCACATTCTTTTTATATATTAATGACTCACAGATAAAGAAAAATCATAACAACGTTGTAATGTAAACTATTGGTTTATAACAACATGAAATAGTGATGATACACTTTACCTTATAGTCTTTTTTATTACAATCAACAAGTGTACCAAATATGTTTTTGTTTTCATTTTATAGTTTCACATGTTACATAAATATTTGTCTATGATTTCCTCGTGTTCATTCATGTTCATTCCTGGATAATGTCGAAAAATGATTATGAAATGTAATTTAAGGACGTTTGTGTACATATGTTGTCTGCACGTACTTGCTACAATTATTTCTGACTCTTAATCTTATTGATATTTTATTGCATAGTATTAAACACAATGATAGTTAAATAATAAATATATATTTTTATGTCCCGATGAGTAGAAAAATTGTATTTCTCACGTTTCTTGACTTAATATAATCCAATTCCTCAGAGTAAATAAATAACCGAATTCGGTTGTATTTATTAATAACTTACATGTTGCTTGGCACGATTCGTGATCTCAAGAGAGGATTTCGATGTAGAACATATCATAATCGACACAACTTTGTGTGTATGTACATAATGCTAAATCCCTCTGCGCTCAATTGAAAAGAAGGCCTAAACATTCTTCCAACCTGGACTGTTTATCCAAATAACTACATTTGACCTTGTTTATTTTCCATACCTTCTACATACACACACTCAATTTCGACCCCACTACTTTACATTAAGTCACGAAAAGCCAGAAATACAAATTTTCTACTCACTGGGATAGAACAAGAAATATATTTATTATTAACTTTCTACTCGGTGCTCAATTTATTGGAAGCCCTCAAGTTCAACCTTGGCACACAATGGGAGAGTAATTTTCATTAAAAGTCTATGTGCTATTACAACTATAAGCTTGATTCTAAACATATTGTAAATGGGAATATGTAGTATTATACTTGACAATAATTGTTCCATATCTGTCTTGATTTACGTAGTTTCTGATATAGGTTGGCAGTGATTGTTTTCTCAATGGTAAATACAAGTAGAGTATTCGCATAATATCATTATGTTCATTTCTGTAAAATTCATCTTTCAATTCATCTGAGATGCAGTCAGTGGGAGCGTAGGCAGAAACGACAAAAAGGCAACGACGTGTGTCCCTATCCTTCTGAGTTCTTACGTAGCCGTTTAGCCGAACAGCACATAGACGACTGTTGACGGCGATCCACTCTAGCAGTGCTTGTTCGGCCCTCATGCTTAGTGCTATGCCTACACCTGCCAGTTCACGAGAACTGGCCATCGGGTCACCAGAAACACGTAGGGTGTATCTCGTTGGCTCTCCGTTTTGCCTAGGTGAGGTCAAGCGAATAACCACACTGGAATCCTGTATGCGTGTTTCGGAGACAGCACACATCAATGGTAAGAGACTCTAGGGTTTTAGCCAAGGAAGCCTGCTGACCGATTTGACATAGGGTTCGTACGGTGAAGGCTCCAATGTGTAGTTTGGAGCGAGGTTTCAGCAGACTTGGGACAGTGTTTTGAGCACTAGAATCGTTGGCTATGGTGACACTTGAGGAGGAAGCCGAGAGAGAAAATTTAGAGTTGAAAGTGTATGTAGGAGAAATAATAAGAATTGAAGAGGAAGGTTGATTATGAATACAGTGGTCTTGAGTGCTGTTAGAGGTATGAGGGCGGTTATCACTTCCCGGTTGCCCACACCGTGGAAGGGTTGTTCTGGAGGTACCTGAAAAGGAAATTGGATTAGAAGTGGTCTTAGTGACCTGAGAGCGTGACCGCAGTGCCCAAGGGACAACTGCTTGAGGTCGGTCACACACCTTTTTATAGTTAATTTTTGTGTTAGCTCCGTATTTATTGAGACCTTACCGCTGGAGACAGACATCCGTGCGATAAGGCGAGGTGTGCATTTTTAGGGTCGACATCAGTGCTTGAAGTCACTAACTGCTAGCCTGGCCATGTCGGTAGATGCAGACTACTTGGTTGGGGTTCGCGTGACTATCGTAACCAATGGTTGAAGACTTGGTGATATTGCTCAGAATCGATCACAATGGCATCGGTGTATACACTCCCTGTCTTCTCTTAAACTAAGAGATTAAATTTGCCTCATATCTTTCTTTCTACGAACTAATTCTTTCTTCCTGTACTATATCCTTATATGCAATTTTTCTTTTATATATTATCACCTCTGAATTAACTACTTTTATGAATCCGGTGTTCATCTTGCTGTGTTAATGAGGTATGGCAACTTGAACCGATGCATATATATTCCTGATCCTACGTTGTAGCTGACTGACTGATTATGTTTTCTATCAATAAAAGAGACGTTCATAAAACCCACTTTATAAACAAATATTGTAATTTTACGTTTTAATCATCCACATGGATACCAATGCTCATTTTTTCATTTAGTTAGGAGATTCTTGTTGAGATCATATGTACATTTTGAATGTACGTTCATGACAAATGTCAAACCAAAAAAATTAAACCTCCAGACCGTTCAAATTTTACACTCCTAAATAGATCAATTGTTCGAATTGATTGATGTTGAAAATGTTTGTCATTTGATTTCAACATTACGTATTGAAAATACCCTCTTCGTCATGACAGTTGAAGGATGTAGTTTGAATCTCATTTGAATTCTTGACTCTGCATTTCTGAGTGGTTTAAAATAATCATGAGACTAGTTTTGTATTGCACAAGTTGACACCAGTTAGTCAACAAAGAACACAATAAATGTATAGTTCAACTTATGGATAATACCAACTACAATTCACTGAATGCACTCACCGACTTACAATTAATGTATTGGTCTTTTGTTTTAAAAAAGATATGTAAATTATGTGCTTGTAGGGATTACTATATTATCACTATAGTTTCTTAACTATATAATTAATTCTTAATACTTCGATTATAGAAAAATATACTTATTTTATTGATATGTAAATAGTGCTGATTTTCGTTTAATCGTATGCATGCTTATCGTAAGTTATTATCCATTTTGTTTATCTAACTGAACAATCCAATGTATCAGTGTATATAAAAAGCCTTATTGATGTTTGTATCTCAAGTCATTTTGTTAATAGATCATGTTTAAGTTTATCTTAACGAGTTTAAACACAATATTATTGGTAAGGTTTATGGAATTAATATGAAATGAATTGTTTTCTCGTCAACTGTGTATAAAGTGTTTTTCAATTGTATATATCATCCTTAATCATGCTAATTTGTTTATGTTGTATCAAGTTAAGAAATTTTTCGTGACATTGGCTAGATAAGTATTGATGAAAGTTATGTTTTTATCTAGTGAATAATGTATGATCTTACGTACTTGGCTTCGAGTTATGCTTCAGTTGTATGAAGTTTCGGTTTTACTTTCAAACTGACTAACTACACAGAACTCGGTCTGATGATCTATAAACTTAGAATCCAATAGTTCTGAATGTTGGATATTTTCACGATTAGACAATCGTACTACTTTTCAGTATCACAGAAGAGTATTTAACAGTTATTCTCTAATAATATTGGTGGCTACTGCCCATGTTTATCTAATTACAAGAATTGATCTCTAATGTATTTGGTTTGTTTGTTCTTTTAATGTTTACTTTATTGTATTTTATTTGGTAAGTAATTTTAAATCCAGTAAATTCTATGTAAACTTTAAATTTTATATCCTGTTTCTCATTTTGTTGACATTATTCCTTGTTATTTTCGTTTATTTATTGTTTATCACAAGCTTTTCTTTCTTACTTCTTATCCCCCTCTTTATTCTTTTTTTCCCTCTTCATTATGACATTTGTCTGTCAATCGTCCTCTTTAAAAATATTATAATTTCATTGTATTCCCATAGTACTGTGTTATCATTGTAAACTTTTTTAAGTATCTGTTTAGTTAAACTTATCAAAATGCAAAATGTGATGTCATTTTTCTTAAATTTAGGTATTTTAGCAGAAAGAAAATTGTTCAAGTGTTTTGAACTAGAAATTTTCACAAAGATAATATTATATATCTGTTTTAAATGTTGTTGCTATAAGACAAAACCAAAAAAAACATTTCACTGAATTTTAGGTTTTTAGTTATAAAAAATATAACTATCGAGAATTTCTGTTCAGGTTTATACCATCAGTTTCTTTTTTCTCATCACTGGTTACCATCTGAGTCACACAGGTTTTGATCGATGATACATCTATGTTCAAAGGTGGTAGGTAACCTATTCATCTAAATTTGGTAATGTAAACCATCAAGTCACGACTACAAAAACTAGTATAAATTACCGCATAAATTCATCCACCATTTATGCTAACTAGGCTTCTAAGGTGAACTTTCATAAATATCACGTAAGGTTTCCAACCATATGATTTTTCAGTCTTTACAGTCACTGTTAGGTAACACATTATTGTCATGTTTCGGCAAGAAAATCAACACAATGATCCATTGGCTTAATTAGTTGTGCTACCTAAAAACAGTTGATGTATCGACAATCTGAGACCATATTTTTAATTATCTTATTTTCTACTGCATCTACCTACCATTTAAAATTATGTTGATGGTTTTGATTTGAAAATTACGGGATTCCCAGTCAGTGGTTCAACGTTAACACATGCATTTCACGAGTTCTGCCCCTCAACGATTGTCATAACCTCCTATCCAAAGAATAAGTACTTTATTAAAATAATTAATTAATACAACTACCGTTTTTCGAAGATAGTTTCCGTAACAGGTCAAATTCAACCAGTGAAATCACTGGAAACCAAAAAGCACTGAACAGTTTTTTTGTCCTAGGCGCCCCAAGGCTTTTCGATAGTCTACATCCTATCAGAAAGTCAAAAATCGATACAGTAGTCCACTCCAACTATTCACATCCATTTTTTAGATTAGGCAAGTATTTATTCTAAACCGAATTTTTGTTTTTTATTGTATTTTCTTACACTTAATCTCGTACAGCATCTATCTTTATTGTTTAATGGGTTGTATGGTAAATCACAGCATAATGTTCATTTCCTTCTTTTGTCTTTTTACAGATTTAGATGTTTTTCAAGACCATTTAATATGAAATCGAAAGGACCTAAACATAAACCGTGTTCAACACTGCTGGATCCAAATACAACTACACAAGATGTTAATAGTAATAATAATAATAACGATAATAATATTGAGGCAACTATAACTGTTCAGCCATCTTCTGTATCTGATCATACTCTGCTAACTTATAGCAATGTATTACCGATGTCGACTACTAGCATACCTACTACCAGTGTTGCTTTTGTTACAAGTAGTATTAGTAGTAACAGTTGTTGTACAACAGTGAAATCTCCAGTTCACGATAATGCTGATGATGAAAATCTTAAAAAATGTTCATATTCTCCTATGTATTCATCTGTTCAAATGAACTCACCTACAATGATTACGACTAATCAATCACCTATCACAGCTACTACACATGCAACATTTATGTCAAATTCCAAATTAAATCAGCAAAACATTATCACGACGAATTATGAAAAAATACCAGTAGTTGTGGAACCAATTGAAGTAGCTGCCGGTGAAGCACAAGCAGAATTAAATGAACGTGATAAACAAGTGTTACAGTAAGTAGACCGTTTTGTCTGTAAAATAAAAACAATAATGAGCAACACAAACATTACACAATTACTGTATTCATTTAGTCGTCTTAAACATAGAGTCTAAGACAGATGTAAGTTAATAAAAGCAAGTTATCGTAACACATTAACAAGACGAGATGAAGAATATAAAATGAATTGAGAATGCGATCAAACTTATTTGGTTGAAATTTAAATTAGAGTGATTGAATATTAAGGATATGGTGGAAGAACAAAGAGTGGGACAATGTATAGAAAGAAATACAAGATCGAGAAATAAAGAGTAAATGAACCTCCACATTTTGAACCAGTTCTATATGAATTCACGTAAAATGTCCTTTTTGTCTACTGTGCAAAATGTTCTATCAAAAAAAGAAAGAAATCTGTGTTCTATACTCATGAATCGTTGACCCTTTATTCCCAAGCCATTTGTGTTGGTATAAGCTCTTTATTTAAATTCTCAAGATCACTACATTCTTATAGCTTACAGTTCAAAATTGATAACAGAGGAATTGATGCATTAATTCTTTATATCTTATTTAGGTTGCCTTTATTTCATGATTTTCTTTTCACTGTATAATGTATTCAGTTAAGTCAATGTAAATATACACAGGATTCAATATTCTGTTCATTACTTTATGCATTCTTTTCCCATTTGTTTCCCATTTTTTTTATAAAAAAAACAATGTTTACCATGGTTTAAAATAATAATATGTTATAATAATAATATATCTGTATACAAGTAGCCAAGAATTACATTTAAACAATGTTTGAATAGTAAACAATTTTCAATTTAGTACTAATTCTTTATATTTCACTTTGAAATTACTAGTTTGTTCCTTAGTAGCTAAGTGTAGATTGATAGAACAGAATGTAAGTAAAACTCACTTTATTCAATATCAAATGCTATACTTATTTACCCGGCAGTACGATCGAATTCTGATTCATGATGTACTGTTTCTTTTGCATCCAAATCACTAAATCTCAGCTTCACTAAACCAACTATTAGATAAGATAACCAGATGTGAATATAAGTGATATCGTAGGTCAAATGTTTGTTTGTTTCATCAAAGATTGAATAACTATCTACTTGATTGTTAGAGTGATGAATAGACTGATCAAATTCTTACTTTCGATAGTCTACCTAGAGCGAATTTATTTATTAGTAAATGAAAATATTTCTCCATCTAATATTTATATTTTAAAATTATAACTTCATTCATCTTTGTCCTTTTTTATGTCATTTAATAAAATGTTGCCAAGTATAATTAGTTCTACCGAATTAGATAGTATTTTGTATCATCTAAAGAATACTATTTCAGAAATCAATCAATGGTCATTGAAAAATATCCAATTAACTAATTTCGTTTCCAACATGTTTTTTCATGCATTTGTTAAATGATAAAATAGCTTCCTTGTATATTAACTGACTACTGGTGACGGCGAATAAATTTGCAACCATTCAAGTTTTTCATTAAGTGATTTGTTTTTGTTTTTTAAATACGACTATTATTCACACTTGTTACAAACATTGATACACATTATACGTGCTTTGAAACTTGTGAACTTGGTTTATACCAAAATTTTGTTTGATTTAATAGTTTTGTATATGTTCAGTTGTGAAAAGTTGACCAAATTTTGATGCCGTGAATCATGACATTTTGAGATATTTTTGTCATTCTAAGAAGCGTAAGATTTCTGCCTCTGTTACAATGCTAAGATGTGATTATAATTTATGATTGAAAAAGAATTAACTAATGTATTCAATAAATTTACATTTGTTCATTAAGTCAGTGATTGACTGTGAATAGATTCACCTGTTTTATTTAAAGAAACATGATAAATTCATCTCTACGTGATAAATATATATCCAAGTTAACAGTGTATTAGATTTGTGATACATTAATTGTCTTCAAAATGTAGACAGTCAAATTATTCTGGTCATTTAATAACTAATAAACTTATAAATTAACTTTAATGTAGTCACATATTAAAGTTTGAATATCGGGTTTATATCGACTGTTACCTATGCTCCTAAATTATCTTCCCAGTCGGTTCCGATAACTCCAACTACTTTGAAACGTCAATTGGAACAGTAGATTGAAGGCGGGAAATATGAGTACTAGTTTTATTTCATGGTTCAGGGAAACAGGAATATTTATGGAGTTACACACGACCTTGAGATTTTGGAAATTTCTGAATCCATGCTAAATATTATAGTGGTATCCAACGCTAAATGAATCTGCTTAGTTACGAGTTTTTTAAACTGTTTTGTAGTATTTTGTAATCCAATATAATGTATTTAGTGATATATAGTGCAAGATTTTCAGCATCTGTTGCAATATTAAAACTTTGAAATTATTCTATTTCAGAGTAATATGAATAGCGTTATTTTTTCGTAAAGCTTTAATATATCACACTTCTATCAGTGACCATATCTATCTGACCCATAGAACTAAATCTCTGATAATATACATGTACCGGAATTCCAGTGAATATTTTGGAATACTAAAGTGGCCGGATTCAATTCGCTTCCTCTATTTTAGATCAGTGCACATTTTCTTATCTATTTATATGATAAGTTTAGTATGCAAACAATGCATAAAATAATTGGATTATTATTCCCTGATATTAATCTTTACTGTTCTTTTTTGTTTGTGTCGTCAAAATATCATCAGTTTTCCCATGGTTGTTGCTCAATTCTAAGCTTTTAGCTCTTTAGCAGGATCGCTAGATCCTATAACAACCACTGAATTGTCGTCTAATGAATATAATTCTTTTTGCTTGTCATTGGTGAGTAAGTGACTGTCTGTTCGTAATAGACTACGCGATTCTACTCAAAGTATACGGTGTCTAATATTTTGAGCTCCTAAAATTTACACCTTTTTCGCTATAATTTGTTGTAGAGTGTTTCGAAAATTTCTTTCCAATTTAATTCTACATAACAATTTCAAATGATTAATTAAAACTTACTACATTTTATCTTTAATTTACTTTAGTTCATTACTAATGAATAAATCTTCAACAATTGTTTCCTCTGTACCTGTTAACGATTTCTCGTACACCATCGCTAATACTTCAATGATGACAACGACAATACCCATAAAATCCATTTCAAATGAATTATCTTCACCTCAGTTATCGTCATTCAATAATTTATCATCTGTTGCTATGAATAAATCAAATTCAACATTTCATAAGGAACCGTTAAACATCAGCCCAATGATAAATACTACAATAACAACGTCAGGGACAACAACAACTATCAATGAAGATAATTTGTCAAAACAATATACAAATGAAAGTATCTTTTCATCATCGACAATTCCAACAAATGATAATCTTGCTACATTTTCACATTCATCAACTTCAGTACATACTGAAATGTCAGGACATAAGAATTTTATCCCATCAGCCATTAATTCTAATGTTACTAATACACACTTTGTACAATCGAAATTGGATACAGTCGTTGTAGAAAAACAGATTTCTGATGGTGAAAAGTAATACTGATTTTATCAATTTAAATTTTTATGTCATTTTTGTTCATTTCTATTTGTCAGAAGTCAGTAATTCATGAACACTGTAAAACCTGCCACTTATACATAACCATTGGTCCGAGTTATCACACGATCATCACTACATTGAGATGAAATTATCAAGACAAATGTCGGAATAGTGAAGGAGTAACAATATTAGTGGTAGTATAAGAAATTAGGTATCAACAATATGATTCGAGAAAAAATGAATCCGCTAAACAAAGAAGAATAAATTAATTTTAAAACTGGGATTCTCAGTCATGTCACCCAACAGCATTGAATATTAGTTACCACAGGTGTACTCATCGTAATCAAGTAGTCTGTATATACCGACACGGTTCAATCAAACAGTCGATGACTTTGTGGACTGGTGCTAAGTCTAGGTTTGTCTACCCTCAACTTCCTTCAAAGTGTCTTACACCCGTAAGCATCTTTCGTCGAAATGTTTATATAGTAACGGCATTCTTTTAAAAGTTTGGTCGTATATATGTCTGTAGGACATGAAGCTATAATTCAGCTGAATTTGCTCGGTTATAAGTAGTGGTTTCTATGATAGAATTGAAATCATTATTTAATGATTACAAGGAATTTTCTTTGACCAATGAGCTTTTTCATCTCTAGAACACCAGCTCGTTTGTTGTAAATTTAACAACACTTCGAAATGATGTTCTATAATAGTTCGTCAGTTTGTTTGAATTCCGTTTAAATTAATTCTTTGCAGAGATGTGTTTTCTCTCAATGGTGTTATAATGCATATCTGTTCTACTGTTAACTACTTCTAGTATCGTTTTTAAATAATACATTTTAAACTATTTTTCATCGTTTTAATGTACACTTGTTTCGTCTTTTTTTCGGAAATATCTAATATCATCAATAAGTTGAAATGGTACAATCCATACATTTATTTTTATTGTATATCAATTCACATAATCATGAATGTGTGGTAAAGAAAAAAATGTACAAGCCAAAATGCACTTCAAATCAATCTTGTTATCTCTTTGTAAAACACACACACACACAAATAGATCACAATTAGAAAAACAATTTTATGACGTTTGAATGATTCATTCAATTATATGTGATGTTACTGTGTAGACATATATTTTTTCTACGTAAATCCCAATTTTCATATTACATTTGGATCGGTATAGTTAAGATGAATAATAACAAGCAATATTTCATGATATTCTCCTTCTTTCAGTACTCAATGTTGTAAATATACTATTATTTTTATCAATACTACTTTGTCCCCTCGTTTTACTACTTAAAATGGTGAACTAATTAATTAAGGCACTCATTTTTCAATTAAGAGGTTATAGGTTCGAACTCCTTCATCTACTTTTGATAATACTACTAGAATTCATAGTGGCTTAAAACTGTATACATAATTATGCATTTAGTAAATAATTCGCTTGCATTTCCACATATACTCAACTCTCATATACACTATGTTGTTCACGAAGAGAAGCTTGAATTCTCCACTCAAGTAGCTAATGATGATTATGCCTGTTTGTTTGGGTTGGAGAAGGGTCAACTTATTCCTAAAGTGATTGCATGAACAAATTATCACAGTACACTACAGTCACATTTAGCATAGAACACACTGAACTCGTTTCATCTAGATCCATTATATTGATAAACTTCAAATGTACTTTTTTTCTTCTTCATAAAACGAGACCTCATTTAAAATAATATGAGAAACAAACCAACTCTTTGTTTAAGTCAATGTGTATAAGTAAGTTGGTCACTGAATAGATGATATTGTCGCGTACACAGCAAGTTCAATTGTTTTCTTTTTTTAAAAACAAGAAACAAATACTCTACTACTTGAATACGCTCACGTTTTCTTATAATAATGTATTGTTATTGTGTTCTTTTCGTATATTCATTGCAAGTTGAAGAGATAATAATTTTCTCGTATGAAATAATAATCATTTGTATTCACGATACTTTTCAACATAACTAGATCGTTATTCGTATTCAGTATTTATCTAGGTATAATCCAGTCAATTTATATCCTAGTTACCACTATTATTTCTAACATAATCACTTCACTTAGTAATAAATAATAATATTGATGATAACAATAATTATTCTACTGAATAATACTAACTAATAATTAATCAATACTGATTAATTCATCAAATTAGGTCATGATATTTTGTCACTTACATTGTTACCCATAATTAGATTAACTAAATCGCCTATGATACAACCATTCAAATAGTCAAACTAACCGTGAAATAACCGCTCTTATAAGCGATATTTGTTTGCTGCTGTAAATGCTACTAAACGTTTTTATAAATAATTCAACTTGTGTTTACAATAAGCAAATTTATGTGTTCGGCTCTGATCTATGCTTTTTTATGAGATCTTTTGTTATTATCGTGGTTCATAAATTATAGTCACCGTAGAATGGATGGTTTCAACGTGCTACCTTATGAATTTAAGTTGACTACCTGAACTATTAAGTCACATCTTAAATAAAGTTAATATGTGTCTGTGTGTTAAGATTAATTTTGTTAGTGCACAATGATACTTAATTATATATTTTTAATATTGTCTTGTTTGGTAACCAAGACAATTTTTTTTTCAATATAATTTATGCTATTTGTTTGATAGTTTTGACAACCTCAATCATGAAAGTTCACTGCATTATAACCAAAATTCAATCAATCAAATCGGTCGAGAATATCTGTAATAATAACACTTTCTTGTTTCTTTTGCACTTGCTTCACACAATCAATAATTAAAAAAGATGACACTCTAAATCTGAATATATTTATTATAGCTTTTCCGCTCCTAGCCACCAATTTATCTATTCTATATTGATGTAAATGCCTTATGTCATGATATCAGAGATTTTTTCATTACTAAAGATTATTGAAAAAAAGCAATAAGTATAAAGGAACTATGAGAGATGTTCATATTGGTTTATTTGTTATTAACATTGATTTAGGGAAATCAATGTCAAGTTATATATTAATTGTGACTTAAAGGTGTATTGATTATAAGATTAATTTTTCCCCTTATTTATTTATAGTTTGAAACCTCAGGTTACTTCAGAGCATGTTAGTTGTGTCACTGAATCATCTATAAAATCTGTTACAGCACATTCTGTTAGTGTGGTTTCTGCTAAAAACAATGTTGCTTCATCAGTCGATGTCAATAATAATAATTATAACATCCCCGATTTCCAAAATGTCAATTCATATAACAATCATAATGTCGAGTCTACAGTTAGTCACACCACAAGTTTATACGCTCCACAACCATATACAACAGTTAAATCCGATACAAATAATGATATTCCAAATGATATAAAGCCAACTTTAAACGGTTTCAAACATGTGATGGAAGATGATTCTCTCAAGATTGCTCATACTACTTCACCTTCAACTATATCAACTTCAGATTCATTCCAATCGCGTATTAAACCACCTTCGTTTACTGTAAAAACATCAGATTCGAACAAAATAAGCACTACAAAAGTAACTTCTACTACCGTTAAAGTTGATGAATCTTTCAGTTCCAACCATCTAACACAGAATAATAATAATAACACAATGTCCAATTCATTTCATACGCCAGAAAGTATAAAAAATCAAAATAAAATAGATTCTCCCGAAGTAAGTTAACTTTTCATGCCGATAAACTATTTCAATCAATTAATGCTCATCTTTCAAATATATTGTATCGTGATATTCTGTTTGAACTTCAATTATACGGACACTTTGAAATGAATAACAACATGGTAGTATGTATTTCCCCCCCCCTCACAGAGTTTGATCAATTACAATCATTAACGTCATAAAGAAGAAAATACAAACTGTTAGAAATAAACTTCATACCCGTCCCGCAAGCTAGTGGATATCAGGACTCAGTAGTTCAAGAAATAACTCGTTGAAGCCAATAATCGTTTAGTCAGTTTTCGTTATCAATCAATGATTACATTGGAAAAAAAGCTGTAAATAGTAATTAATATATGGATAACTACAATTGCTTCATTTGTATTTGGCTGACGTTTGTTGATTAAGCTGATGAATTAATTTCGAAGAGATATTTAGAATTAAAAATCAAAATGACTAGTAATTTTTTTTGTTCAATTATGTTATTTACTTCAAGCCTTGGAATCATGTTTACAATGACTTATTAGATACAGTAATCTACTTAAAAATAGGAAATGTTTACACCATGTAAATTATTTAGAAATATCAAGTATCACATGTGAACTGTGTCGATACTTAATTAACCTTGAGAAGCTCCAATCATTTATCAAATTCAAAATAGGAATATAAATTTACGTAAGCAATTAAGATTAAGAGTTAGCATTATAAGTTATTGTTAAGAATTAGAGTTAGGGTCTTCATCACGAACTGACATCTATAATGCTAAAACATTAATTAACCATATAGAGACTGAATGTCGCACAAAGTCCAAGTTTCTCTAGCTTAAATCCGATTAGTTCGTCCATAGATTATGGTCCAACCGATTCATAGTGCAATAAAATATCTCACATGCTGCTTTTACACAGACATTTCAAACTAAAACCATTGAATTACTACGTTCTCTGTATTCCACAAAATTTCTATTTAGTTATTATTTTTCAAATATCCAATAATCAAAAACTGTGTGGAAGGTGACATTACAAAGTTCAACAAATTGAAATATTTTCTCAAAGATTTTGCGATTTATTCTTTCTGGTTTACTAACACATTATCATCGAAAAGAAAATTTTCTTTGTTAAATCATCTTTATTTCTTCACTGGTATGATGAGTCTCTTTCATTATTGTAAACTTTTTTATTATTTATTAAAGTTAGTTTTAGTTACAAACCAACAATGATTGGTACCCAGCAATTCGCATGAAAATCTGAGACTTTATCTCAACTATCGCTTTAGTTAAAAGCACATTTCCTCTTTATTTTACATTAAGTTGATTCAATCTCTCCATAAAAACCAACCATATAATTCTTGTGTGTTTATAACTTTGTAAAAACTTGTTACAACTGTACGTGTACATTTGTGAAAAACGATGACATAATTTTGGGCGGTAGATTAGATAGCAATTTATACAATGTCTCTTTGTTAATCATATTATTCCTTTTTTTCGTAGAAGAACAATACACCGAGTACACCACCCGTCGTATGCTCCGCGTCAGTTAGTGTAACTGGAATTCGTCCACCAAGTGGTATTAAAGCTCCATCTATTACCCCAGATAAAATGAAGTCTAGAATTACTACTAACGGACATACCAATCCTAGTGCCACCGACACATCAGTTATGTCTACACATGATGATGATATGACACATAACAAAAAACAAATTCCTACAAGTGTTGAACCAACCTGCGAATTGATAAAAAGACAAGAATCAATTACAGAGGATAGTTTAGAACATCCTAGTGGTTTACCTAGACCTCTAGGAATTTCACCTTCTTCATCTCATGGTAAAGTTCAATCTAAGCTTCGACCTTTATCAGGAAATTCACCGATCGCTAATTCTGGTATACCTGCACCGTCTATAATGCCACCCCTTGTTAGTGGACAATCTCATATGCCTGTATCGATGAATAATACTTCTATTCCTCTACCTAGTGGAATAAAACCACCATCTCGTTCACCAAAGTCTGCATTAGCTAAGGTAAGGTTTTTCTGCGTATCTGAACGCTTGCTTCATAGTATTTCATGTTTTTTTGTCAGTCGTTTTCTTTGAAAAGCTGTAACCTATTGGCTATACACTTCCAACTATTCTATGACATTAGTAACCGACGAGTAAAGGCTTCTGAAAAATAATGTTTTTTTGCTTCCCGCTTTTTTCCCATGACAAACATTCACAGATAGAATTCAGAAGTTGAATTCAATATCCGATTCCTTAACAATCTTTATATAATTAAATTTCGATGATCCTTTTTGAATTTGTCCATTTGATGTGGAAATATCGAAAGTGTTTACTAATACAGTGTACTTAATGACCAAGTAAGAGAATTCTAAACGAATATCTATCAGTTCAAATTGTTCTGTTTCATATCCTGAAAGTTAATGATTCCTGTCATAGCTTTCGACACCACTAGTCAGGATCAGTAATGGAGTTTGTCAGACTTTCGCGTTGTAAATAGTTTTCTTTGTCAGAAGACAATGAGTTCGTGAATAAAATAAACGAGGTATTTAGAGGTTGACAACGAATACACCAGTTTTTTGTTGTAACATTTTTAATTGGCATCTATGTTACCTCTGATATATATATATATATATTCCAGCTAGAAAACGTCCTACCTGATGCAGAAGAACAATTGCAGTTAGCGCTTGACCTTTGGACCACTGGGTTGACATCTAGCAGTATACAAGTTTAACTTCATTTCGTGTTGTTGCTCAGTCATCATCTAACGTCATTGTTGAGTAACTACCTCACACCCGACATGATTGAACTCGATTGATCATGGTTTCTCACTAGACCTTCGGCAATTACTTCTCAAAATTAGACATTAGTGAGTATAACATTGTTTTTAACAGTTGAATTCATGAGTCAATCTAAGCTAGACCACCTCAATAGTGCTTATTCACGATACCATACAAGAACGATACGACCGTCCAGTGCTTCCAGGTACTCAATGGTGGTCTAGTTTAGACTGACTCGTGAATTCAACTGTTAAAAATACTACAATCTCCACAAATCCTCACCCTGATAATATATTATTTTTGACGTAAGGGGTTTGTGGAGAATTTTTTTTCTCATATCTTGTATTGACTGAATATCTTTCATCTAACCTTCGGCGGTACAATAAAATCGCATTGCTGAAGATTCCTTCACGAGATTCGGACAGTTGTCTAGTGCTTTCTGGCTTTCAATAATTGTCTAACCAATGTTTGTTCGCTATATAAAAAATAAAAGTTTTGAAAATTTATTTTCTTCTTGTTATGTAATTATTTAACTCTCAGCAATGTACTTTGTCTGTTTTTTTTTGTTTACCCACATTTCAGTGATAACAATATTTAATGATAATTATCTGTCATATAACATTCAATGATCCAGAAAAGAATCAAGTAATAGAAAGTCTTCTAACCAAAATTGGTTACAAGATACATTTCAATTTGTCTTGTTTTTCTTTTTATTTAGTTATCATTCTTCTCTCTGAACAACTCTCTTTAAACAAAATTCCAGTATTGTTTGTTTATTCCCTAATTGTTCTGAGATTTCTTTAGTCCTTCCTTTTTAATAATGATAATATTTATCAAATGATTTTTCTAATGGTATACACATTGTGTGTGTTTTTTCGTTTCTTTAACTGTTTATTGTTCCATTTTCTGTTATTCCGTTTGTTTATTGTCCTTCTCTCTTTTTTTTTCTTTAACTTGATCATTTTATCGAAGACAAATATTGATTTGAAGTTTATATCAATATCCCCCTTTACAGATATTTAATGTGCACTAAAGGAAATTATTTTCAGTCAAAATGGTGGACTATTTATACATTAACATGTAACAGAGAAAATGGCTTCCAAGTTGAACAATGAAGTCATTTCATATCGTGTCTATGAGAAATTATTTTACAAAATATAACCACTATAATAGTACTACTGCACATTTCGAGTATTTCTCAGAATTAAAACATTAATTTAACCTTTTTTTCCAGTTCACTTCCTCTTGTGGACCAGAATATTTTCATTAGATCTTATTACTTATTCGTATATACAGATTTCTAAATGTTTACTTCTTTGTTTGTGCGGCGCATGTGCTTTCTTTCATTATGCGGCGGTTGTATAGACGTTTTTTGATTTTGAAATTACATTAATCTTCTCTAAAGGTGTGTGTGTGCTCTGGATTCCTTTTTTTTACAAAAAATATTCAGATAAACTATTGATCACTGGACGAACTTTTTTTTTTGCTTTTGTGTTCTTACTAATCACTTTGTCAAGTTCTACTACTTCTATTCTGAAACATATAAGATAATTTTATGCCTTCGAATCGTAATACCTATTTTAGATGTTTACAATTTAATTTTAAAAGCAAATAAACTTGATCAGTATTCTTTTGTGTTTTGTTTGTTTCCCACTAACAAACTCGAAAACGTTTTCGACAGTATCATTTTTTATTCTTCATCGAAATCCATTGCAAATTGCTTTTTTTTTCTTGCAGCTTTCTTTGTCAGTGTCATCTGATCGCTACTGATCACACTTCAATTTTGAACTGTGTTCCCTTTTTTCCTTACGACATATGTTTGCCAGAGATTGCGTTCTTTTCTGTTTCTCTAAGTGAATTTATGGGAATTCGATTTACAAACAGATTTAACAAAACAATAGGATGATTTTGTTCACATTCTATCAATAATTCATTTTCTGTTTAAAAAGTATTATTGACTGACAATTTTTTTTAGCTCATATGAGTCCACAAATTGTGCACTATGAATAAACATACATTCATTGAATTTGGTTTATTGTCCAAATATATGAATTAAATGATAATATATTAACATGTTTTTATCTAACCATAATTTTTGACAAAATTCCGTAATTGATTAACACTGTCCATTGATATCTGATTGTAACTATTACAGATGAAAGAAAGGTTAACTACAATAACTACAGAACTGCGAATAATACGTTTGAATGTTTGATACTGAATAACTGAAAAATATAGCCTGTTTGATTGACTATTATTAGCTGATATATATGTATCTATGTCGTTTAATTCTGCGAATATCTGAAGCTTCACTCTTATAAAGTTATTCACGTGTTCAGCTGTAATGTAACCTCTCATGGGAACTTGTTTCTTGACAAAAATATATGCCTGTTACCTAATGGCGAAATCCAGGCAATTCACGCTGGATGCATATATCCTAAAAGAGACTAAATTCCTCTGAGATTCAAGCATACCAAGCTGATGAATCCAAAATAGGGCAAAACACGCATCTAATATTCCACTGCTAGCGATCATCTAAATCCGCTTATAAAAGTAGATGTAGTTGCTAAGGATTTTACATCTTCGTTAATCTAAGACAGTTGACTTTTAAGATAAACGTCCAGTGGGTTTAACTAAAGCTGGAAAGTTTGAAGGTCCTCTTATCTTCCCTATGACTTTCAATCCACAGGAACCTGCCATTTAGCGAAAAAAACGTTTTCTGTATTATAAAAAAATCCAGGTTTTCCACGGTGGTCTAGCTTTAATTGACTCATGATTTCAACTATTAAAATGAGTATAATGGTCACAAAACCCCTTCTAATATAATTCTTTATAATTTTTGTGAATCAACACTTAACCATAATGAATGCAATTCTTGAATATGCTGATCGCATTTCTACTTTTTTTAAAAATCTTATCAACATTGATGAAGAGTTGTCTGATGAAATAACAACAGAAACACAAACAACAACCTTACATGACCAACTTGTGTTATGAACACTCAAGTGTAGCAACCTTAATTTACTACTGTAATATTTACCAAACCAAGATGTGAGAGCTTTATCGATTATTATGAAAAAGTCAAGTGAATTATCTATTAGATGGTATAAACCGTCTATAGCAATGAATTATAACAGTAGCAGATAAATTCAATGATCTGTTCTAACACTCAGTTAAGAATATTTTTTAAATGTTCAGAAACATCCTGTATCTTTAAGAATGATTATTGTTGGAGATCATCTTAAATTTCTGGAATCAAATATATATTATCGCATTATATAACTGTTATAACTTGTGACCGCCAATGAGAGAGCATTGAATTGTCGATCGGACCAAGGATGCGTAAACACGTGCGAGCAGCCTAGAGTCCTGATTGGTCCTGCTTTCCGCCTAGCCTAGCTAGTTAAGTCCAGAATGCCTATATCAGCCTCTGCAATATGAATCATTATATTTCAAACATACTGAGTTTATATACCAATCAAACAGACCACACCGTAGCATAAAATAGAAAATAACATTTGTACAAAATGTGCCTGTGAGTGTGGGAGGTAGTGACTAATAGACAGCGCATAATTCAAGAACGGTAAAACGTATAATAATGGTTCATAGGTCAAAATAAAGCTTATAATAAGAGGAACATGAATAGTTTAGTAATTTAACAATTATACGGTAAAAATATACGTTTAGTATTGGTCCATAAAAGGATCCTAAAGTTACTACTCATTATGTTTATCGGGACCTAACAATAACACATGGTCACAATTTAGTAATGAAAGAAAAGAATACTACAAAGAACCAATCACACTTCAGATTCCGTACATCTTTTTTCCATTATTTAAGAATTAATATTCAGCGTTAACTGGATAAACATGTAATAACAGAGTGAAATAGAGTTTTCTTGTGTTATGAACAGCATTAAAACCAACAGAAAATATATATCATAATATGACCACCCTTGATATGAATTTCCTTAAAATTCTAATGACATAGTATGTGACATCAACCAACTCAGAGCGCGACAATAACTTAATGATTACAACAAATGAACACTATAATTGTAAGTCAAACAGATTATGAACTACTGAATTCCAATTTAAGGACTTAAAAGTAGTATAATCATCACAAAACTTGGAAGCATTAGATACTATCTCTTAATGTTATAATTCTAGGGATTTCGAATTGGAAGTAAACCATTATTAGTTCTTTTGGATGAAATTACTTATGACTTGTACAGAATCTCCATTAAACAATATAATAAATAGTGAATGGATCAAACATTTTAATTTCATACTAACATAACTATCAATTTTTCAGTTTATATAAATCTCGATTAGTATGTACAGTATTTAAGATTAAATGCTTATTATTATAATTGTATTTCTGGATTCTGAAAGTGTAATTGAATATTGTTCGCTTAAATCATATCAAGTAACTGGATCATTTAAAACTTTGTAATAATTGCCTACTTATTATCGATCCGTAAACAATTTGAAAAAAAATGAGCGGACAAATGATTTATGATATTGATTAACTTGACATTATCATTATTAAATCTGTCGAAGTTTTTCCATTGTTTATGCTAAGGTTGTGCTAGATACTTTTATAATCAGGCTTACTAAGAAACATATATACTATTCAATTACTAGATTAGAAAATATTTCTTGACCACATCGGATAAACACATTTTGCGTTGTAAAACTAATTGACTTGAATACAAATATACAAATCGTGAATACAATATTGTATTGCCCAGTTTGTGAGTCTGAATTAGAAAGTAATGTTGATTTCCCCAAATGCCCTAGTACGGCCGAGAGTGGGGAGAGTCCGCTCTCCCTCTCGAAATACTCTCACACGGCCACGCGTATATAGCCTCTGCCAGGGAAGTCCTACTCACTGCCTTCTCGTGGCGGGGTTGTTGTTTACGAAAATGAGAGGACGAAAAGCGAATGACTGGCGCTTTAACCGGATCCCAAACCAATGGTGCACATAGGCTCCAGTATCCTGCGGGAACAAATGGCGAATGAACCAATTGTTGGTCACCGGCTTCCATGGGACTGCATCTCCTTACGATGCTCCACTGCCTTGTGGATCAGACCTTCAGGTCGAAGGCTCGGGGTGTGGCCCCCTAAGAAAATCACCTGCTGCGGTCTGGGCACCCGGGCAGTATCACAGCCCTCACACATATCGAATGAGATTTGTGTGGCGCATACGTATTTGGTGCCTCTTTGTACCAATATCTATGTGTTGAAATAATAATAATCACTTTGGTTTCAGACTGAAATCTGCTCAAAATGAAATACCTTCACATTTAATAATATATAGAACGATTTTCAAAATCAAACAACTTTGTAATGAAGGAACAATTCAATAATGCCAATCGATGAACATCCAATTGTATCAACAATTTTCAGAATTTAGGAACTTTTTCGTTGATTATTGACTTCCACTAGACTTCAGCACAAATAAATCTCTCTTTTAATATCAGTTAGAATGTGTGTATTTAGTATTTACCAGTATCCCTCAAACCTTTAAGTAACACAAGTAAACAAAATGACTGATCTTTATCTTTCCTCCTCCTCTCTCTCTCTTATGTTTATAATTCATTCTCATCATCCAAATGTTTGGTTATTTACCAAAATTTTCAATGCTAAAAACTTATTATATTGATTACTAATAAAAAGTTATTACATTCATCTTATACTTCAATCTACCACCTTAAATAAAAATTCATTTCTCAAATTATTATTAGTTTTGTCACCAGTAATATGATTGTCATTCGTGATTTACGCAGAGTCATCATTTCTGCCAAATTATTTTTCAGTTATGTTATTTTCACCGAAATTTCATGTTAATGTGGATTGCTATTACATTTTTTTGACGTAGTTGTCACTTATTCTCAATAGAGGGTTTAGTTTCAGCCAATCTCACTTCGCACTCTCTGTTGCTTTTGAGGATCATTGTTTTACTACATGCTGTGACCACAAAAAAGGCCTCCGTTTGTTTGATGTCAACTACGTCTCTACAGGTTACTTTTATGCATAACTCAAAAGTGTCAACCTTATCTATTGTTAGTATTGTTCAATAGAGTAATAGAATTGTAAACCTACGAAACTGGATATCATAAAACATGTATTATACGCATACTTGTCTTCAGTGATTTCATATTACACTTAAAAATTATTGTTTAAATATTAATTTTGTACAAAATTTGTGTTGCTACATTTTGAAGCTATTATACCAAGGTATGCTCTATTGACTGGTTGCACTGAAATTTAAAACTCAAATTAAATAAATATACGTTAGATAGAAAAATTCTGATATTATATTTCTTCCTGGGTTGACATAGTTTGAGTGACGTGACATCGCTTTCATTATATTGGTGTGTTAAATTGTTAAAGGTAATCGATAGTCAACCGCGGACCTATATCCGCAAAATATACCTACAATCTTGGAGGTCTATGTCTCCCTGTAGAATTCGCATCTGAATCACCTACTCCCACAGTCGAATAGCTCAGTGGAAACATTTCAGAATATTAAATCGATTGATGCGAGTTTTGAAGGGACCATCAGTTTTCCAAAGATTATGGGTACACCTTGTTGACAAGCGCCAAACGGTATGAAACTGGTGTACAGAGCTTCTTGTCGATCAGCTCAGGCCACTTTGAGCCAACGGTGTTTTAAATATATCATTAACACTCAGCCGCGCATTGGTGAAGAATCTTTCACACCTTCCATGGTTACGTTCATTTAACCTGCTATCCAATAATTTTGTGTTCATTCCCACAAACTATGTTAAATTTTGTATTTTATGGAGTTATCCCACTAGCACTGAGGGATCACTGATAAAAAGTAACATAAGAGAATTTATTTCCGTAAACTAGTAAAACAGCTTCGACTTTTCGAAAAATAAACAGATTTCGCAATAATTATTTGTGAGAAAAAAGTGCGCACCTGAACATGTTTAGCACTTATTTCTATTACACAAACTAATTCCTTTTATCAAATAATAATGGTTGAACTTTGAGAAATATAAGTTTTGGGTTATGGCAAAAAAAAATTCGCATTAATGTCAGCCTCCAACCAATTAAAATCTCATAAGTGTAGTATTCTGATAGGAAAGCGTGCTATGGTTTACAGGTTTACATTTTATGTATGAACAAAATAGCCCGCATCTTTAGAACATTATCTCATGGTAGTTTCTGTATAGAATTCAAAATCATATTACTTCAACTTGTCAGAAACGGCCATACGAATCATTT